ACCTAAAAGGACACCTTTCCAAACTGGGACTGACAGAGGACCCAACTTGTGAGAGGTGCTTACAAGAAGATGAATCAGCCACACACATCTTATGTGATTGTGAGGCTATAGCTTATTTAAGATATCGCCATCTAGGTCAGTTCTTCATGGAACAAATTACTTTTATGACGGCCCTATAAATAAATAAAGTCCTACATTTCGTTCGAAGTGTAGGATTAATAAATGGTTAATCCAAAGGGGAAGCACAATAGATAATTGAAGGTCGCAGTGCGAGGGCCAGTTTTATGGCTCACCCCTCATACTCATACATTATAATACTGATGGGGGCACGCGGTAGCGTAATTGGTTGAGGCACTATGCTAGAAGCCGGAAGGTCGCGGGTTCGATTCCCGACGAGGCCACAGGATTCTTTTAATTGGCTTAATCCTTCCAGCCGCACCATGGCCCTGGAGTCGACTCAGCCTCTAACAGAAATGAGTACCATGAATCTTCCTGAGGGTAAAGGGTTGCCGGTGGTTGCATAAGGCTGACAACCTCTCTGCCATCTGTGAGCCGATTGTCTGGAAAATATGGGAGCTTCGACGTCTCACAACCCTATGGGCCTCCACGGCTTATTACAGGGATAGCTTTACCTTACCTTTTACATTACCGATGTTTCAACATCAGGTGTACGAAGCAGCCTTAAGAACACATTCGACCCGGGGAAATGCATAACTCTTCGTCAAATGTTACTACAGTCAACAAATCAAGAAGAGCAGTGGGGGGGGGGATGTTGCATATGTGATTGCCGAACAGGATGGACTAGAGGTAACGCTATAGGCTTGTATGAGGGAGCATCTCGGTTCGAATCTTGGCCGAGGCATCGGCTCTCCTGACTCAGGTTTCTCGTAGTATTCCTCAATGCCTCCAGACAAATTCCGGCATAGTACCTCAGAGAAGCCACGACCGCTTCCTTTCAAATCCTTTTCACTTCATTAGCCATTGTAACATTCTACATTTCATAGCCTCGGGAGTGAATATCAGTGACCAGCAAGAGGCAGGCGGAAAACAGCTGTTCTCCTTGCCGCATGCTTCTAGCTGGCAACTGGCTTGGCTTACTCTTCGACCCTGAAGATGGAAGCAGTATGTTCCTCCGAAACACCATTGAACATTACATGGCGTGGTATTCAGAATATGGTACGCTTCATATTTGCCGCTGTGGAAATTAAGAATTTGTGTATTACTGTCTTATGGAATATGACATCGTATAGTCTGGTACATAGATGAGTATAATCGTTTCGGAGGAACCCATTATGTCTCTGTCTTCAAGTGGCCGGCAAGGAGTTCCTCTTTCCACCTATTTCTTGCTGGACATTTGCTCGTCTTATTGTCTGACCCTGAAGATGGAAACATTATTTTCCTCCGAAACTTCAGTCAACCGAAATATGCGGCGTCACATTCAGTAAGACACATTTAAAATTCCTACTCTGTTAGGCCCTTAGGTAGAGCTGTAGTGTAGCTCTGCTCCCGTTGATGTCCTCACCATCGTCCGAGATGTGGGTAACGCAGCGGTCCTTGTTAGGTGGACACGGCAAGAGGCTGTCACTGCCACACTCCTCGTTCTTGTACCTGGTGCACTGGTAGCATGTCAGGTTGCCCTCCCCTGCAGCTGCAACACAAGAAAGAGGAGGAGGACATTATAAATGGCGGCCGCTGTACTGGGCGTTACAGTCACCCACGTGACTTCAGCACTTTGCCACATAAGCCTTGCCAAGAGTACACGTTTATTTGTGTAAACAACATCCAAGGCCTAACCTTAGACCATTTTGGCAATTCATTCATTCAT